GAGCCCGTGGGTTCGAGACCCGCCTGGGCAACTTGGCGAGACCTCATCTCTACAATAAATCAAAAATTAGCTGGGCGTGGTAGTGCGTGCCTGTAGTTCCAGCTACTCGGAAGGCTGAGACGGAAGGATCGCCGGAGTCCAGCAGGTCGCGAGGCTGCGGTGGCCGGGAGCGGCCACTGCACTTCAGTCTGGGTGACAGAGTGAGTCTCCAACTCAAAAAAAAAAAAAAAAAAAGGTGAAGACTTCTGGGGTATAGCATACTTCAGCATCACTGGCCATGTTTCTTGGTGGGGATGAGGTTCCTGACCAGGTTAGAAGTGGCTTGTCCATGGGTGAGCAGGGGTGGAATTGGAGCAAGAACCATTACTCCTATACTGTCTTTCCATTACTCCATATTTTCTCCTTCCTTCATGCATGTGATGGTTCATTCATCAAACACTTGCTGAGCCCCTATTCTGTTGTAGGTGTTGAGGGACAGATGGAATATAAAACAAACATTTCTCACTTTTCTGGAGCTTATATTGTAGTAGAAAGAGACAGACAATAAATAAAACTACATATTTTATTTGTATTTCTTTTTTTTTGAGCTGAGGTCTCACTCTGTCGCCTCCAGGCTGGAGTGCAGTGGCAAGATCGTGGCTCACTGCAGCTTCGACCTCCTGGGATCAAGCAATCTTTCTGCCTCAACCTCCTGAGTAGCTGGGACCACAGGTGTGTACCACCATGCTCGGCTAATTTTTAATTTTGTTTTGTTTTGTTTTTTGTAGAGAAAAGGTCTCACTATGTTGCTTAGGCTGGTCTTGAAATCCTAGGCTCAAGCGATCTTCCCGCCTCCCAAAGTGCCAGCATTACAGGCATAGGCCACTGTGCCTGGCTAGATATTTTTAGATGGCGGTAAATGCTGGAAGCAAATAAGCAGGGAAATGTGATATTCGGGGGTGGGGGAAGGCATGGGCAGGAAGACTTCCCATGGAGTGTAATGTGTTATGAAGGAGCCAGCCTGCGTGCATGTATTGGGGGCTGGGAAGTGGGGTAGAAGAAACAACAAGTCCAAAGACCCTGAGGCAGGAGAGTTTGGTGTGTTCCAGGAATAGAAAGAAGTCCCTGTGGCTACAGCACAGAGATGTTGGGGGAGAGTGGTTGAAGCTGAACTCCAAAAAGAAGGTGGGACCTAGGCCACGTAGGACCTTATCAGCTACAATAAGCATCCTGTTTTTATCCCAAAGACAATGAGAAACCACTGAAGAATTTTTTTTTTAAAGACAGCAGGATTTATTGAGAGGATAGAAAACTCCCACAGTGGGAGGGGACCCAAGGGGGTTGCCCCATTGAAGAATTTTTAAGCAGACAGTTGTTATACTCCGATTAATGGTTTTGTTTTGTTTTGGAGGGAAGCAGAAGTGAGAACAGAGATGAAAATGAATTTGGGAGGCTATTTCAGGTGAGACATCTACAATCTACTCCTTGATTTTTCTTTTTTTTTGCGTCGGAGTCTCACTTTGTCGCCGAGGCTGGAGTGCAGTGGCATACTCATGGCTACCACAGCCTTGACCTGCTGGGCTCAGGCAATCCTTCTGCTTCAGCCTTCCAATTAGCTGGAACTACAGGTGCATGCTATTACACCCAGCTATTTATTTATTTATTATAGAGACAAAGTCTTACCAAGTTGCCCAGGCTGGTCTCAAATCCCTGGACTCAGGCAAGCCTCTCACCTCTACCTCCCAAAGTGCTGGGATTACAGGCATGAGCCACTGTGCCTGGTTTGCAATCTGCTCTATGGAGGGGTACAAAGACGAACAACATTCATGGAAAGGCAGAATGATATGAGAGGTCATTCTGTCTTTTGGGTTCTGATGAAATACGTTGCTAACTACTGCTGTGTAGCATATCACTCCAAATTTAGTGGCTTAAACAACCATTTTATTTTGTCGCCATTTTTGGGTCAGGAATTTGAGCAGGGCTCAGCTGGGCAATTCTCCTGCTCTCTATAGTATCAGCTGGAGTCATCTGCTTGGCTGTATTCAGCTGGCAGATGAGCTGGGCTGGAAGGCCAAGAAGATTTCATTTATAGGTTTGGCATGTTGGTGCCCTTCTATATGACCTCTCTCTCCATGTGGGTAGCTTGGACTTCCCATAGCATGGTGACCTCTGGGTAGTCAATCTTTTTTTATGGTGTCAGGCTTCAAAGAGCATTCCAAAAGTAGCCAGTGTGGGAGCTGCATAGCTCTTTTTTTTTTTTTTTTTTGAGTTGGAGTCTCACTCTGTCGCCCAGACTGGAGTGCAATGGCCGCTCCCGGCCACCGCAGCCTCGACCTGCTGGGCTCCGGTGATCCTTCCGCCTCAGCCTTCCAAGTAGTCGGAATTACAGGCATGCACTACCACGCCCGGCTGATTTTTTGATTTATTGTAGAGATGAGGTCTCGCTGCCCAGGCAGGTCTCGAACCCGCAGGCTCAGGCAATCCACTCACCTCAGCCTCCCAAAGGCGTGGGATTACAGGTGAGCCACCGAGCCCAGCTAGGAGCTGCATAACTCTTAAGGCCTGGCCTTGAAAAGTACCCAGCATGACTTCTGCCACGTAGTGTTGGTCAAAACCAGTCACAGGGCTGACCCAGACTTAAGGGGAAGGGAAACAAACCCTATCTCTCAGTGAGAGGAATGGCAAATTATATGCTTCATCTTTGGTCTACCACATTTTTGGGAACTGAATAGCCATAATCACCCTGATGGTGCTGACCCACTTTTTAATCTAAATCACAGTATACTATGTTGGAACAATTTATAGGTCTTTATTCCCCTACTGAATAGAGAGGGCCTGGAGAACAGGAGGTGGTTTCTTTTTCTTTTTTCTTTTCCATGTGTTTCTAAAACCTAACATATACAAGGCATTTGGGGAATGCTTACCAATGAATACACAACAACATACTCATTCACTGGTTATCAAAACATGGTATATATAAGAATCCCTTGGGAGCTGTTAAAACTGCATGTAGATTCCCGAGCAAGACCAGAGCCCAGACCTTCTGATTCCTTTTTTTTTGAGCCAGTGTCTCACTGTCGCCCAGGCTGGAGGGCAGTGGCATGCTCACGGCCACTACAGCCTCTACTTGCTGGACTCAGACAATCCTTCCACCTCACCTTTCTAAGTACCTGAAACTGCAGGCATGTGCCACCATGCTTGGCTAATTGTTCTTGATTTATTGTAGAGATGAGGTTTCAACAAGTTGTCCAGGCTGGTCTCGAACCCATGGCCTCAGGCAATCTTCTCACCTTGGCCTCTCAAAGTGCTGGGCTTATAGATGTGAGCCACCGCGTCTGGCTCTGAATCCTAATTTCTAGGGCAGATGCTTTTATTTTTGGCAGTGCTAGGCCTTTGCCCCACTTGATCTGGGTGAGCCCAGACAAACGTATTAGTCCCCTCAGATGACTCTGATGTGAGGCCACAGTGAACAACCACTGCCCTAGGATCTAACCTCATCAAATGATTCTGAGGTAGGTCGTCCATGCTACGGAGGCCGACTGTCCTTGGTTTGCCCTGATTTTAGCAGAAGTCCCACATCCCAAGAAACTCCTAGTCCTGTGCAAGCCAGGACAGTTGGTTATTATCAGTGGACCACTATTGAAAAACCATTCTAGATGAGACAGTGAAAGCCTTTTTGAAAAATACCTACAGATATCTAATGAAAGCAATGAGTTTGTCTCCTTATTTAAGGGACTGTGCCCACTGTCCTTGAATTCAGGAGGAAATAGCATGGGTCTGGGTTTTCCTCCAGCCCTGTGCTCTGGGATGCTAGGTCTGTTAACTCATGGAGGCAGTGTGTCTATCTCTGGGAATTCTTTCAGGATGTATTCCTTAGTGTACACAATGCAGCTTTGAAAGCTCAGGTGCAATCAACAAAAATGACTTGCTAAGGATAGTATAGATATGGATGGAATTCCTATGTCTTCTACATCAGTGTATATTATTACTATTGCTAAATATGATAGAACATATATATGTATATATGTATATATATATATGACACGTTAAATAGCTCTGTGGGAAGGCAGTGTGGTATAGTGAAGAGGTCCAGGATCTGGTCTTAGATTACTAGGTTTGTGCCCTGGCTTTGCTGTCACTAGTATGTAATCATGGATGCCTCTTTTTGCCTTATTGTTCATTTGCAAAATGGGAACAATAAAGATGTCTTCGTTACAGGGCAGATGAGAGAGTCCACCAAAATAATGTAAGTCAAAGTAGTTCTGTAGACTGGGAAGGCTGAGGTATTATGATTGTCTTTGAATGGGAGAGACTCAAAGAAATTATTCCACTAAGAGGCCCAGATCTCTGATCTCTCTACCCTGAACCACAGCCCAGTTGTGAGAGTCCAAGGAAGAGCTTTCAACATGTAGTGGGCCACGGAGCGACCTCAGAAAGCAGAGGTCTCTACCCTAGCTATCCTCATGATTGAGGGCATGTGTGTTTTGCTTCAGGAGAAAAGGAAAACTTTTGGAAATGGGGGCTTGTGAAGGCATTTTTTGTTTTTCAGTCTTTTGCCTATGTATTCCAAGTGTATCCTGAGAGATGTAGCAAAAAGAAAACAACCACAACCACAAACCCATAATATTGAAAAGCCAGTTCTTACTTTCTGTAACTAAAAAGGCATCCTTTCAGGCTATAACCGCAGAGAGATTGCTGCAGGCCTGTGGAACTGGGCATAATGACGGTTTGCAGTGTGATGAAGGAGGCTGTTAATCTCTGTGGCCCAGAAGCCCAATTCGTGTTTTCTCCAGTTACCCAGGTTGCCTGGCAACACCACTAAAAGCCTCCCCATGGAGCTCAGCTGGGCAGTAATTGGCTACACCCAGCACAACCCGCTGCCCAGCCTCCTGGGCTCCCCGGCCACATCAAGGGTGGACTCAGCCCCGGCAGGGGCCCGCCTGGTACCAGTGAATGGGTGGGGCCAGCTGTTTAAAAACCAACAAAACAACAATCCAGACATTTAAAACCTGCTTGTTTGAATGCAGCTAAGAAAGCAACACAAGCTCATAAGCAAAAGTGTCTTCTACCACCAAGGAGTTGTCCTAAGGGCGTTGGCCTTGCCAGTGCCCTCCTGGGTGAGGTGAAGAAGGGAAGGTGAGCCTGACTCAGTCCTTTGGGTTCTCAGAAAGGCAAATCTTTTTCCTGTCCTAGACAATTGTCTCCATCTGGACTCCCTGTGGTAGTGATGGGAACTGTGGGAATTCCCAGCCTATCTTCTCCCAGAGGTAAAAACCTGCCAATTTTTCTCCAGCTTTCATCGGGAGATTCCCAGGGTGTATGTAGTCTGGGACTGTCTGGGCAGCTGGAGGAAGAAGAGGAAGATAAGGGTGGAGGAAAGGATGGGATGAAAATAACCAAATAGAAGATGTACACGTCTTTTGTTTTAATTTTAAAATATTTTTATTTTTAAAATATTTACTTAATTTTAGAGACATTAAGTAAATATTTAGGATTCCAAGTGTATCCTCAGAGATGTAGCAAAAAGAAAACAACCACAACCAGAAACCCATATTGAAAAGCCAGTTCTTACTTTCTGTAGCTAAAAAAGCATCCTTTCAGGCTATAACCGCAGAGAGATTGCAGCAGGACTGTGGAACTGGGCATAATGACGGTTTGCAGTGTGAAGGAGGCTGTTAATCTCTGTAATATTTACTTAATCCTTGCTCTGTTGCCCAGGCTGGAATAAATTTTTATTTCTACTCCAATCCTGTGACAGACTAAGAAGATGTACACTTCTTTTTTTTTTTTTTTTTTTGAGTTGGAGTCTCACTCTGTCACCCAGACTGGAGTGCAGTGGCCGCTCCCGGCCACCACAGCCTCGACCTGCTGGGCTCCGGCGATCCTTCCGTCTCAGCCTTCCAGGTAGCCCGTGTGTCATCTTCTATGCGATGGTATGTACACTTTTTTTTGAGTTGGAGTCTCACTCTGTGGCCCAGACTGGAATGCAGTGGCCGCTCCTGGCCACTGCAGCCTCGACCTGCTGGGCTCCGGCGAGTCTTCCGCCTCAGCCTTCCGAGTAGCTGAAACTACAGGCATGCGCTACCACGCCCGGCTAATTTTTTGATTTGTTGTAGAGATGAGGTCTCGCCAAGTTGTCCAGGCGGGTCTTGAACCCGCAGGCTCAGGCAATTTACTCACCTGTTTCCCAAAGCGCGGGATTATAGGCTGAGCCACCAAGCCCAGCTGAAGATGTACACTTCTACAACATTTGGTGCTTAGAAACCACAGGGCCAGTGGAACACGCTTTGGAGTCGTGTAACCTGGGCTCTTCTCCCAGCCTTCCCTTCATTCATTGTAGGACCTTGAGCAAATTACTCCAGGAGCCTGAATTTCTTTCTTTCTTTCTTTCTTTTTTTGAGGAGTTTTCCCCTGTCACCCAGGCTGGAGTGCAGTGGCATACGCATGGCCACCGCAGCCTCGATCTGCTGGGATCAGGTGATCCTTCTGCCTCAGCCTTCTAAGTAGCTGGAACCACAGGCATGTGCCACCACACCAGGTTCATTTTTTGATTTATTGTAGAGATGAGACCTCGCCAAGTTGCCCAGCCTGGTCTCAAACCCTGAGCTCAGGCAATCCTCTCACTTCCGCCTCCCAAAGTGCTGGGATTACAGGCGTGAGCCACTGTGCCCGGCCCTGAATTTTTTTATACATAAAGTGGGAATGTTATCACCCTACCTTAGGAGTTGTGAACATTAATGAAGAGGGTGCTCATAAAATGTTCAGCATGGAAACTGGGATACAGTCAGTGTTTACTATCATGGTAGCTCTTATTATTTAATTAGATTCTTAGAATAATTCTGTAAGATACTCAGAGTAGAGATGAGCTATATCTTACAACTGAGGAAACCAAGTGAAGTTAAATGTGGATGCTGGGAGTAGAACTCAGGTTGTTATAGTGCCAAACACAGGGAACAGTACTCCTCAAAGGCAGGTGACAAACCCTTTTTTCTTTTCTTTTTTTGAGTCGGAGTCTCACTCTGTTGCCTAGGCAGGAATGCAGTGGCACACTCACAGCCATTGCAGCCTTGACCTGCTGGGCTCAGGAGATCCTTCCGCCCCAGCCTTCCAAGTAGCTGGAACTAAAGCGCATGCCATCACGCCCTGCTAATTTTTTGATTTTTATTGTAGAGATGAGGTCTCACCAAGTTGCCCAGGCTGGTCTCAAACCCGGGGACTCAGGCAGTCCTCTCACCTTGACCTCCCAACGTGCTGGGATTATAGGCGTGAGCCACTGCATCTGGCCAAGCCCTTTTTTCAATAGCCATAACAACATGATGGCTCACAGGTCTCTCCTGACAACCCAGTGAATACAGAACTATAATGGATGGGGTGCAGATGTGCAGATGAAAAGGTTGGCAGGAGGTGCCTTTCAACATAAAGTGATACAAAGACTTAGTCAATGTAGTGTGGTTGGAGTTGCTCCCTCCTTCCCTTTCCCCCTCCTCTCCTGTTTTCCTCTTTCCTTCCTTCCCTTACACAAGTTTTTAGACAAAATTTTCATTTTGGAATAATTTTAGGTTTACAGAAAAGTTGCAAAGGGAGTGCAGTGTTTCCATATACCCTTTACTCAGATACAAGTTTTTTTCTTTGTTGTTGTTGTATTTTGAGTTGGAGTCTCACTTTGTTGCCCAGGCTGGAGTGCAGTGGCACTCTCACGGCTACCGCAGTCTCAACCTGTTGGGCTCAGGCAGTCCTTCCACTTCAGCCTTCTAAGTAGCTGGAACTGCCAACGTGTCACCACATCCAGCTAACTTTTTGATTAATTATAGAGACGAGGTCTTGCCAAGTTGCCCAAGCTGGTCTTGAACTCCTGGGCTCAGGCAGTCCTCTTGCCTCAACCTCCCAAAGTTTTAGGATTACAGTGTGAGCCACTGCGCCAGGCTACAAGTGTTTTTGGAACACCTACTGTGTGCCACAAAAGGTTCTGGGCACAAAAAATACAGCAGTGAAATGTTCTCTACCCTCTGTGGGAGAATCACAGAGTATGTCAGCTGGAGTGGACCTTGGAGAGCCTCAGCTTGTGGTTCCCAAAGGTGCCACTGCCTCCACTTCATCTGGTATGACTGTCAGGCATCTATTAAACCTATTTAATGCTGGGTGGCTCAGCCTGTAATCCCGCGCCTTTGGGAGGCTGAGGTTAGTGGATTGCCTGAGCCCACGGGTTCGAGACCCGCCTGGGCAACTTGGCGAGACCTCATCTCTACAAGTAAGTCAAAAAATTAGCTGGGCGTGGTAGTGTGCGCCTGTAGTTCCAGCTACTTGGAAGGCTGAGGCCGAAGGATGGCCGGAACCCAGCAGGTCAAGGCTGCGGTGGCCGGGAGCGGCCACTGCACTCCAGTTGGGCGACGGAGTGGGACTCCAACTCAAAAGAAACCAAAAAAAACCAAAAAAACCCCTATTTAATTAGTCTCTTTAGGAGTAGGGCCTGGGAATCTGTATAAAAACAAATGCTGAAAAACCAGTGTCTCAGGAGATTCTAAGGCATAGCCAATTTGAGGAACTATTGGTCTAGTGAAGATCATTCACTGTTCACTGACGGCTCAGAGTCGGGAAGGAACTTACTCCTGGTCACACAGCCAGGAAGTGGCAGGGTAGATCAGAAAACAGATCTCCTGACTCTGTGCTCCTTGTATTACATCTCCAGACCCAGAGGAAGAAATGAGTTTGACTTGCAACAATCTTCTTCCAGTCTTTTATCTGAACTCCAGATAGAGCTTAGAAGAATTTCTTAGCTATTCAGGTTATCAGTCATGTTCCACAAGGGATGGAAATGGATTCTGGCTTAAATCAAGAAGTGAATGTTATTGAAAGCACATTTGCTAAGTTACAGAAACACTGGAAGGCTGCACAGGCAAGGCTTGGGAAATGAGCAGAAACAAAGGGAAACCAGGCATCAACCATGACACCAAAATCCCATTCCAGAGCCAGATGGGTGAGGGCAGCCATTGCTGCTGCTGCATGCTCAGTGCTTCAGCCCTCATCACAGATACAGCTGCTGTAGGACACTGGATGCTACACTGACCCCAAAGGCAAGGTTGACTGGATGCTGGAAGTCTCTGCCAGCGCTGCAATCACTGTAACGAAATTCCCTCATCCTCAGCTCTAGCCTCAAAAATCCTAAGCAAATGCAGCTGATTGGTCAACCTTAAGTAACGCACCCAAGCCTTAGCTGTTGGGGATCTGAAAATGAGAGTATTGGGTATTTTTAGGGTCTGCGGTGGGAGATTTTCCCTGCTGCCATCAGAGGATGAGGAATTCCCCAAGAAAACTGACAAATGATAACTACGTAAGTGTTATCAAAAGAACACATTGGAAGTTCTTGACATTTGGAGATTCAACGCTGACAGTTTTGGTATTTTATTAGCCATCCTCAAAGGGCCATTGTGAATGAATGTGAGCTGAGTGATGGGCTTTGTCAGTGGGCCAGACCTACTGCTGTACCTGGCCTTCTCTCATGACTTTATCATTCTCTATTAGTTATAGCCTTTATATATTTTGTATGCAGGGCTTAAAATCTTTCTTTCTTGTTTGGGGAGTAGAAAAGACTCATAAAAAGGTAAGCCATTTGATGGTGCCAGTGATAGAAATGAAGAGAAAGTGAAGAGGCCTAAACATGTGACTTTTTTTCTTTTTTTTCTTGTTATAAATAGAAGTTTTGGATAAAGTGGAGCGGCATGTCAAACTCAGTGGTGTCCAGGATTCCTGATCTCAACAGATCTACTGTGTGTCACTTAGATACAACTGCTTTGGGAGGTTGTTTCAGTGATCAAAACTGGGTGGCAACTCCAGATGTTACTGGGGTGGTTCCCTTTCTGTAGGAAGAGAATCTTTCACAGCAGTGCCACCCACATACACTTGATCTGTGTATGTGTGGCCTTTCAACAAAGAGTTGGCAGCAACTTGGTGCCAACCTCCTGCCGATAACAAGTAGGCCGTTTGCTTAGTGAGTAAGAAAGCAGTCAGTGCAGTAAATATCCATCCAGTGACATTGTGATTTACAGTAACCAAGTAACGAATTAGATAGTTGTGGACGCCTTTAAATCTCTGTGAGACTGTGTGTTGTAACCATTGCTACTTGCTTTGTTTTGAGCTACTGCTCTATTAAATTGGGCCAAAAATTCTGGTAACCTAAAGTGTGTTTCCAGACACCGTATCTCAGCTTTGACCTAAAGAGCCCATGGAGTTTATACACAGGTCACACCCAAGCAGAGACAAAATTAATGATAACATGAGCTTAGATTGAGGCCCTAGGGAAGGAACCCTTGGACCCAGGAGCAGAAGTGCCAGTGAACAGACTTCAGCACAGTGTAAGGGAGAACTGCCAGAAAATGCAATGCTGAATTATATACAAATGATATACTGAAATATATCAGGCTGTCTATAATTTTGCACTGCCGTAAATAGTTGTGTGTGAACATCCTTGTAATACAGCTTTGTGTTCTTGCTCAATACATTCGTAGGATAGATTTCTAGAAGTTGGATGGTTCTCTTGAAAGGTCTATGCTTTTTATATTTTGTTTATTTATTGTTTTTTATATTTTATAGACACTTCCAAAAGGCGGCATTGATTTACACCTCATACATGGCACCCATTTCCACACAGCCTCATAAATATGGGATATTATCAGTTCCCTTCACTGTTGTCAATCTGGTTGGTGACATTTCCAAGGTGATAAACTGCACTCAGAAATTCAGGAGTTGGGTGGGAGATAAACAGGTGTGGGAGGGACAGAGAATGTCAGAGACTGGAAGGAGCACCTGTGAGCATCACAGCATCAGATGTTGGCGATAAGATGAATCAGAGAAGCCGCTCTCCTCAGGGAACAGGGCAAACAGGTATGGAAGTCAGAGTGTGGCAGTGATTGAGAAGACAGGTGAAATCAAAATGCTGCAAATTACTACCAATGTGATTGTTGCTAGAGCCGAAAGTAGCTAGAACTACATGTCTACTTGACTGCACATATTGAGGCAGGAAGCAGAAACGCAACGAGTCTTTGCTAAACCAAGTGGGTCAGATATCTGTACAGCACAGGAAATAGGTTTAGGCACTAACATACCTAAAATGGCCGGCTTGAAGTTGTACAATTTCTGGAAATTTTGAAGTCTGAAGATAAGAGAAAGTGTAAGGGAAAATGTAATTCTTATTTTTCTAGCTCCTTTCACAAATATAAATTTGTATTGTTAACAATGTGGACTTTTATTTCCTCATAAAATGATTATACATAGCATTTAAGTTTATAATAGGGCTGACTTATACAATGTGAAGTGTCTCTCATAGAAATTATTATTATCATTATCATTATTTGAGTTGGGGTCTCACTCTGTTGCCCAGGCTGGAGTGCAGTGGTATGCTCATGGCCACTGTAACCTCAACCTACTGGGCTCAGGTAATCCTTCTGCCTCAGCCTTCCAAGTAGCTGGAACCATAGCCATGTGTCACCATACCTGGCTAATTTTTTTAAAAAACTTATTGTAGAGATGCAGTCTCATCATATCGCTCAGGCTGGTTTTGAACCCCTGAACTCAGGCAATCCTCTCACCTCTGCCTCCCAAATTGCTGGGATTACAGGGTTGAGCCACCGTGCCTGAACCTATTATTATTTTTGAGTTGAGGTCTCATTCTGTCACCCAGGCTGGACAGTAGTGGCACAATCACGGCTCATCACAGCCTCAAGCTCCTGTGCTCAGATGATTCTTCTGCCTCAGCCTTCTGAGTAGCCGAGACTACAGGCACATCTCACCACCCTGGCTAAATTTTTCATTTTTTTTTGTAGGGACAAGGCCTCACTATGTTGCCTAAGCTGGTCTTGAACTCCCAGATTCAAGTGGTCCTCCCTCCTTGGCCTTCCAAGGTGCTGGGATTACAGGCATGAGACATCATGCCTGGCAGAACTTATTTTTTAAATGATTCGATATTTGCAGTTAAAACCTGCTGATATGAAATCCACATTGTAGTTTTGTCAATTATGAGAAATGTTCAAAAAACTAGAAAAAAATTAATATTCAAGGAAAATTAATAAGATAACCACATCCAAGGGCTTAATGTCTGACCTTGAGCTTTTTTTTTTTTTTTTTTTGAGTTGGAGTCTCACTGTCGCCCAGACTGAAGTGCAATGGTCGCTCCCGACCACTGCAGCCTCCACCTGCTGGGCTCCGGTGATCCTTCCACCTCAGCCTTCCAAGTAGCCAGAACTACAGGCGTGTGCTACCACACCCGGCTAATGTTTTGATTTATTGTAGAGAGGAGGTCTCGCCAAGTTGCCCAGGCGGGTCTCGAACCCACAGGCTCAGGCAATCCACTCACCTCAGCCTCCCAAAGTGCTGGGATTACAGGCTGAGCCACTGAGCCCGGCCTGAACTTGCGCTTTCATTGGCTCCTTGCGCTTTCATTGGGTGAGTGGGTAGAAGAAGATGCTGGGGAGGGGAGAAGCCTTTATTTTCAGAAGAGTTGCCAGAAAAAGAAAAATAAGTCTTTTCCTCAATTTATTGAATATAACCTATTGTAATGTGAAAACTTGCCTTAGGAGTTTCACTTGAAAATAAATAGAATTTGATCTGATTCCCAGCAACATGCAGTATGAAAACAGGCCCCAGGCTCTGGTCCATCCCTTCCATCTCGCCACCCATCCATCTACAATCCATCCATCCATCCACAACCAATAATGACGAATGTCTATGGGGTGTTGACTATGTATCGGATACTATTCTAGGTGCTTGACATACATTAGCCCAAATAATCTTCCCAGCAATGCCATGAGGCAAGTGCTATCATTAGCCCCACTTTAAGATGGAATTTGAGGGTTTCCCAATAAGTTCATCAGAATTGTCAAATGGCCCAGCAATTCCACTCATGAGTATATGCCCCAAAGAATTGAACACAGACATTCAAACAAAAACGTGTACAGAGATGTTCATAGCAATAGCCAAAAGGTGGAAACAAACCAAATGCCCGTCAACAGATGCATGGATAAACAAAAGTGGCATATCTATATAACACAATATTATTTGGCCCTAGAAAGGAAAAATTCTTACCCTTCCTCCAACATAAATGAACCCTGAACACATCATGTGAAAGAAACCAGGCACAAAAGACCATATATTGTATGATACATACATATTGTATGATTCCATTTTTATGAAATATCCAGAATAGGCATATCCATAGAGACAGAAAACAGATTCATGATTGCCAGGGGCTGGAGTGAAGGGGCAATAGGGATTAACTGCTTAGTGGGCATGGGGCTTTTGTTTGTGATGCTAAAAATCTTTTGGAACCAGATAGTGGATATGGTTGCACAACATTGTAAATGTATTCAATGTCACTGAATTGTAGACTTTTTTTGGTTTTGTTTGTTTTTTTGAGTTGGAGTCTCACTCTGTCACCCAGAATGGAGTGCGGTGGCACATTCACAGCCACCGCAGCCTCAACCTGCTGGGCTCTGGCGATCCTTCTGCCTCAGCCTTCCAAGTAGCCGGAACTACAAGGTGCGCGCTACCACGCCCGGCTAGAATTGAAGACTTAAAAAAAAAATCAGTCTCACTAGAATGCAGCAACACACTCATGGCCACCACAGCCTCGACCTGCTGGGCTCAGGTGATCCTTCCATCTCAGCCTTCCAAGTAGCTGGAACCACAGGCACACGCCACCATGCCCAGCTAATTTTATGATTGATTGTAGAGACATGGTCTTGCTATGTTTCTCAGACTGGTCTCAAACCCCTGAGCTCAGGCAATCCTCTCACCTC